GGCTGTCGAGCCACTGTGCAGTTGGTGGGTGTTTGATCTGCACGTATGATCCTAAAGCAATTCAAATGAGGATATGGGCAACTCACGATTCCCTCACCCTAAAAAAAACCTCAAACCAGCACATTTTCATCCTTGAAAAAAATGTCAGTCAGTGTATCCTACATGCATGGTGGGGGGCAGTTTCTCTCCATCACTCCCCGCACTGCTCTTCCATCTGGCACTGGGAGGGAAGGGGTACACTGCACCTCGCAAGGGTCTGTCCACGTTACCTGCAAGAGCACAGTTACTCTCTGATTTACCACTGCTTGAGTCCCAAAGATGTACAGCCATGCAAAAATCACCTCATGGGGAAGGAGCAATGCACCAGTGGGGTCTGTCCACGTAGCAGCCCATGCCAGCAGGCACAAGCACCTACCCAGTCGTAATCTTTGGGACCGCTGTGCCGGCTGTTCATGTGCTGCCTGATTATGCACCATGTGTTTCACATGGGCTTGTGCCTGTGTTTAATTGCATGAGGGTGAACGACTCAAAAAGTCATCTAACACTAATTTGGGCTGCACCCCTACAAGCTGCCACCACTGCAATGCAGACAGACCCCAGCAAACCCTGCCTCTGCGGCCGGGCAGGTTCCTGAGGGCAAAAGCAGAAGGATGCAGATGCTGACCGCCAATTCAAAATGGACCGGTGGGGTGTTGCCCCACCAGGATTCCCAGCGATGCACAGAAATTGCAGCACTGTGCCCTAAATGTGCAAAATCCGTCAGTAACGAGAGCTGCATATGTGCACTGGGGAAAAGAGATCATCTTGCCAAAGTTGGGACCGCATAATTTGGAGTCCATCCTTTTTTGACATCAACAAACACAGTCAAACTTGGGCATGAAGATCCAGAACATCATGTGGTTTCAGCTATGCATACAAAGCCGGCCCCAAATCACAACCAGGGACCATTGCATGGGCACCAGGTACATCTGTATTTCCTTTAAACGTCCGAGATAATACTTGCGTCCCAGCGGATAGACGCAATACCAGCATCCCATCTCACATGAGAGGAGTGGGATGTAGGTAGCGCTGCCTCAGACACAGATGGAAAGAGCAGCTGGAAGGGAGGGGCAACCTAGGGACAGGAGAGGGCCCAATAGGCAGTCGCACCTCCCAGCATGGCTTATGCACCCTCCGAGACCCTGCAAGAGCATCCTCCAGCCTGGGGTACAAACTGGGAGCTGGCAATTGCAGTGGGCTGTGTCTGGGCACCATAGTGATTGCTGGCTGTGGCACCGTGACAGTGACCTGGCTGGATGTAGCCTGTCAGCTGGAGCAACCTGGAATCACCAAGCCATGATTCTTCTATTTTTAGCTAAAATAAAAATTTTTGGTTTAAAAAAACCCTTTCCCACACCCTTCTGGGAAGCTCAAATCTCCAGAGGGTATTGAACCAGTGTGCTGGTTCCTGGGGCTCTTGCAAGGCTCCTTGCTGGAGGACATGGTTGGGAAACACCCCTTGCTAGTAGACATGGTTGGGAAGGGAAAATGTGGTGTGTGCAGGGGCCAGGCTCTTTGGGATCTGGAATAATGCTTCCTTCTTCTGTCTCCTCTCCTTTCCTGCCTGCTTCTCGCTGTCCCGCACAGAGATCCCCGCCGCTCCCCCCACCACTGCCGCCAGCAGCACAGAAGAGCCTGCAGGTACGTTGTCTCTTCTTTTGAAGCATCTTGATGGTAAATTGTCTGCTTAAGATTAAAAAATGCATTAAATTAATACATTAATTCTGTTGCCAGTCCTGGGACAAGTGGATTCTTTTTATGCCCAAAATGTCTGAGAGTTTGAAACAAGTGTGCAGCACCCCAAGAGACGGGTGTTTCTGGGAGCATATGGAAGTTTAGGGAAGATGCAGAAAGGTTTTCCCAGAGGTGCTGGATCTATAAGCACAGAGCAGTTACCCAAAGTGAGACCAGTGCTTGACGGAAAAGAGGTAAGGACTCAAGACTGCCACTGGTTGATTATGGACGTTGAGTGGTTACCTACTGAAGTACAAGAGTCCAAAGAGGGTAAGAGAACAGTCCAGCTGAGTTTCTTCTGGTGGAGGAGGAACAGATAACCAAAAATCCTCCAAAAGAGAACAAAATATCTAAGTGTTGCTTACTGCTGCATATAAGCATTTCATTTTGTGTGCCCAGGTCCGTGTGTTTCTTGCGCTGAGCCATCTTAGGTGCTGACGTGACCTGTGTACGTACAGCACGGTGTCTCCCGTCCAGCTTTGCGGGTCCCTGGGGTGGGCACGGCTGTGGTTAGTGGCATTGTTGGGGACAGTTGTGCTCAGAGGGGTCTTGAGGTCAGTGACTGTAAGAGCAGGACAACCATTTTATCTTGGAGTGGGAGGTCCTGCAGCAGTAGCTCCTGCAGGAAAAGGTCCTGCAGTAGCTGCTGCAGCCTGGGGACAGCAGCATGGACCCAATGGCCTTGGATCACCAGATTTATGCAAGCTGTAATACAGAGGATCATCCTGAGAAAGCTCTGGGTCATCACGGTGTGTGTATCCTCACGTTTCCTCTCCCTTCGTCCTTGCACCAAATACAACCCATGCAACACCCACCTGTGGCTTAACGTATTTCTTCGTACACCCCATCTCCACCACCACGACGGCACCAATCCTCCCTTCCTGATTTACACCCCCAGAGGGGCTGGCACCTGCCCCTGCCAAGTCACCGAGGGACTTTCCTGTCCCCAGGTCCCTCAGGGTCGGACGGGTCTGAGCAGGGGATGACAGCAGGAGCCAGAGCAACCTGGGAAAGGATGACTTATCCCATGCTGCTGCCTGCAGATTCACAGTGCCGTGGCTGTGAAGGACATGGGGTGTAAAGGCTGTCTGCTTTTGTCTCACCAGTGTCAGAGAGTTCATAAATTAAGGATTTTGTACTAAAAGTGATGTGCATCACCTTGAACTGAACTCTGAGCCATGGCAGGGCTTTCCACAGAGGCTGTGGGTGTTGCTGTATGCTCAGGAGCTCTTCCCAGGATGGAAAACTCAGGGAGAAAAGGAGTTGCTCCCTGGGTTTGAGTCTTTGGTTCCCAGCGTCACAGGAAGATGAAGCCCAGGATTTTCTGTAGGACTCATTGAAAGGACAAGTTCTGCCCTCTGTAATCACAATAGCAGCAACATTGTGTTTCTGAGTCTTTGCTTAGGCTGGTCTGAGTAAGAAATGATCTTCATAGGGTGCTGTGGGCTGGTGTAACAGAGAGCCCAAGAGCCTGGGGACGCTAGTCCTTTCCATCCAGCCTCAGCATTGGACAAGCTGTCTGTCCTTGCCAGGGACACTCTGCTTGGTGGGAGCCTTCCCGCGGGGAGATACATCCTGCCCTGCATCTGCCTGCCCTGGCATGCTCTACAAACCCACTGAGGGCCATTAGGGGTGTGGGGGAGATGTTGGCTTTTCCATGTCACCCTTGGGTGTCTGTGGTCCTTGACAGAGTCTCCTTTCCTTGGGCTCCTTCCTGCCAGGGGCCAGGGCAAGACCCACTCGGTGCAGCCGCCCCAGCCCTTTCCTAAGGCAGGACCTGACCTGTGCCCTTCCTCCCCCTGCTCAGGGCACGGGGTGCATTTCTGAGTGAGTAAACGATTGCTTTGCCTCATTGTGATGGTGGGAAGCATCCCGCAGACATGCAGTTTGTCCTGCCAAGCCGTCTACCAGCCTTGGAGCTGGTGGCAAGAGGTGGCACTTGAGTGGTGTCACTGGGTTGGAGCTGGCCACAGAGATCTCGCAACATCTTTTTGCATCTGTTAGGAGTTCGTTTATTTGGATGTGTCAGTCCAAAAGGGCCTTTCCAAAGACATTCTCTATTATTCACAGTATTTTCCCTGCCAGTCCCTGTGTCTTCTTGCATCTTCCCAGACCGTGACCTTGAGTAGCAGGTGAGGGCTCGGAGGAAGCAGCATTTATCCACGTCTTGGCTGAAAGGAAAATCGAAACACCCCCCCACTGCTGCCCCCACGACTCATGGGTGAGGAGGTTTTGCGGGTGACACATCTCCTGCCCCCGTACTCCACGTGGAAACCCACACAACCGGGGAAACGGCTCCATTCCGTGAACTCCCTGCACTGTCCTGGGCAAACGCCAACTGGGGCAGCTGTGTTCAGCCATCCCACATTCCACGTGCCACCTTGATTGGCTGCAGCCCTCATTCACGCCTGCCTGGAGCTGATGGGCTGTGGCAGTGACCTGCGAGTCATGGTCACCAGGCCACCAGGCGCTGTGTTGGGTGGGCTGGGGCCGGTGCTGGGCTATTTGCCCCCGTGGCAACGAGCAGGACCAGGGTGAGCAAGGCAAAATCAAAGAGCCGGCAGCGATAAACTCTTGAGCAGGACAAGGGGGTGCACAGACTATTTTAGGCAACAAATGTGGACAGGTTGGACAAGAATAGGTCCTTGTGCGCCACCCATGCATCTGCCTAGGGCACTGTATACAGGGATGGCCATAGGGATCAGAGACCTATCGGTCAGGACGTGCCCCTCACCTTTGACCAAGGCTCTGGGTAGGGGTCTAAAACACCTTCCAGCCTTGCTACAAAGGGACCATCTCCCTCCCTGGTGCTGCTAGCAGGGATGCAGTCTCCAGCCCTGAGCCTCTGCAGATTGGGGCAGCAAATGGCCCCATCGGGGAAGGAGCAAGTCCCATAACTCTGTGTCCTTGTCCTGGAGAGAAGGGTTATTTAGGGATCTGCCCAAGCCCAACTGGGTTTGCATAAAGCCTGTAACTGAGAACATCTCAGCAGCTTTAGAGCCCTCCCTTCAGTAAACGGACCCCTTGCTGGAGGCTGGGAGAAGGTTATCCGTGGGCTGGGAGCGAGCCAGGCATCTTGACAGCCTGCGAGCCATATAAATGACTCAAGAGCATCTCTTGGATCCCTGTGTCGCTGGAGGGTTGGATGTCCCCACTCCTGCCTGGAGAGGTGACCGGGGACCAATCCATCCCTCTCAGGAGCCGCTCGTGTCGCCTCGCCATGAAAGCCAAGTGGAGGCTGAGCCAAGCTGAGCAATCTGATGGGCCCAGCATCATGCCAATCAATGCCCAATCATATGGGCATCCGATCATAATTCTTCTCACAGTGATTTTTATTGGATTTTATTAAGCACTGTTTTGTCCAGGGAGCTTGAACCCTCCATATTTCATCCCTTCCCCTTGGCAGGGAGTGTCAGATGGTCCTGGGTCTCGGCATCGCTCAGCTCCCGCCATCACCCTGAAGCATCCTGCCGAAATTCATGATGTTTTCTTGGCAAGCCCTTAAATTGGTGTGTCAGTGAGTCAGAGCTCCCGTGATATGGGAGCAAAAAGGTTATAGAGACGGAGAAAGAAATTAGTGGGACGCTTTGGGTGCAGCCAGTTCTGGGAGAGATGTTGCTTTATTTCCTTCCCTCGTAGCTACGCGGGACAGAAAGCGCCTTCCTCGCCAAGAGTCATCGTCACCACCACACTGAGTCAACGAGGGGTGAATTTCAAAAGAGCATAGGCCAAAGCTGGCGTCAGTACAAGGGGTGGAACAACGTTGACTTTGGCGTGGGGGGTCCTGCCGGGCTCCGCTTTGCTCTCGGAGGTCCGGATCAATTTGAGGAAATGGTCCAAAACTGAATTGTTTCGACGAAATCCATTCATGCTCCCCTGTGCCAGGAGATTGGAGGATGAGGATGGGGTGCTTCTCATTTTCATGGCCAGGCGACGAAGGCTTTTGCCACCCCACAAACACTTTTCTGGTCCCATTCAGAGACGCAGAAGGGGCCTCAGTGAAAGGCAAAAAAAACCCCAACAAAACAACAGTGGGGGAAAAAGGTTTACAAACCTGCCAGTCAGCCGTTGTCTTATCTGAATCGAATCCAGATCAGCTTGGAAATGATTAGCTGAGGCAGATGATTTCAGCTGACGGGCTTAAATAAAACCAGGTGATTGGATTGATGCAACTTTGTGTGGTTTTCCCCTGGAAATCGGCCTCCGCAGTTTCAAAACCAGATCTGGACTTTCCAAAAGTCACCCAGGCTCAAGGTGTTGCCTGGACCCTTTTGTTCCTGGCTGGTGAGGAAGAGGCTGGATGCAAGCACAGAAAAGGGAAAAAACTCCACTCTTAGCAATCTCTGGGGCTCCCTCAGATATGCACGGACCCGAAGCAGCTTGGCTGCAGGATGCAGCTTTCCCGGAGTGCAGAGGCAACCCAGCGCAGAGGTGGATGCATGCCGTGGTGTGCGAGGATGATTAATACCTTCCGGAAGCAGCTCGGAGAAGGGAGATGGGCAGTCAGGACTCTGCTCTGGAACAATTTGGAATAATCTCAAGGAAAAAAAAAAAAACAACAAAAAAACAACCCAAAAAAACTCCCCAATCCCATGGGCTGCCTGAGCCTTTCAAGATTGTTCCTGCTTCACTTGGAAAAAACACACGCAAAGGTTATGGCTTCAGTCCGGGAAAATAGAAACTTTGTAGGAAACAGTAGAAAATATTCACTTGAAAACATTCATTCCCCAGGGTGGGGGGGAGCTCCATCCGCCTCGCACAGCCAGGTGGTCCCTGGTGCCATCATGGCACCAAGCCCCCACCGCCATGCCATGCGTCCATTTGGGACAAGCCACTGCCCCCGTGCCACCCACTCCTTCCCTGTGCATCACGTGTGTACGTGCACACACACACCCCCCCACACACCC